AGGATGGGGATTCCACCGCTGTCCCGGGCAGCCTGTGCCAATGTTCAACAACGCTTTCTGTGAAGAAATTTTCAGTGATATCCAAACTCCTGGCACAACTTAAACCTATTTCCCTTGTCCTATAGTATGTTACCTGGTAGAAGAGACTGACTCCATCCCAGCCATGACAGGAGAGGCTGATAAGAATTTAGCAAATACCAATCCTGCAGCCGTGCAACCTGTTTCAACTCTTACAGTGTCATTATTTTGTGCCCCAGAACTTTCTGCTGGCCCAGCACTTGCACAGGCTGTCCAAAGAAGCTGTGGCTGGCTCTCCCTGGAAGCGTTGAAGGTCAGGTTGGATGAGGCTTGGAGCAACCTGATTTCGGCAGCCCTGCCTATGGCTGGAACTGGCTGAGCTTTAAGGTCCCTTCCGACTCACATAATTCGACGATTCTGTCATAATAAGGCTAAAAAAAGACAGCATTTACTTGTTATTTTCAAAAAGCCCACCACTCCCTCCTCAGCAGCTCACACAAGGGCCCCTCACCCACAGCCATCCTCATTACAAGAGCAAATCCGTTCTCCTTCAGCCCCATCCTGCCATGGCCTCTCCCCGCCTCAGGATTTTCCCTGTGAATCTCTGCTGTGGAGACAGCAGGTCCCTGGCCCAGCCTGGCCCTGCACGGAGGATTCCACCCTCTGCCAGCCCCTGGTGCTGTGAAGCTACCACAGAAGGTGGGGTGAGCTATAGCAATGGTCCCAGGGGCTTTATTTGGAACACAAACCCCACAGACCCTTTGGGGCAATGTGTGGGGAAAACCAGCCCTCAGCTGCCAGTGTTACCCCAAGCTTCCACCTGCACGTGAATTTAGGAGGGAGCACCTGCAGAAAGTTATTTTTTCTGGTTTATGGGGATTCAAAAAACATTTTCCTTTGAAAAAAAAAGGGACTGTCCTTTGCAAAGGGAAATTTGGGGGTAAAGCCATTGGGTGGGGGCTCACAGCTCTGGATTCTGGGGTTGTTTTGGAGGGCTCATATTGCTGGAGCCTGAGTGTGTTTTGGGGGTTCACTGCATTGGAGCCTGGATGTACCCGGTTTAACACTCCTTATTACAGCTGGGAATTTCTTTCCCCTGTGGGAAGCATATCAGTGTGGAGGTGGCAGCATTTTTTGGGCAGGACAAAACCACGATTTTTGAAACTGCAGGGTGTCCCTGTGCACTAGGGGGTTGCATGACCTGCCTCTCGTGCACGGTGTAGTGCGTGTGTCCCAGTCCCTGTGCAAAGGTCCCCGTGTCCCATGTCCCG